TACTATGATCAGTGATAAACGCAGGAGAAATCACAGTCTCAGCCTCACTATGTTGCAGTTCTTTTTCCCCCTTCTGGTTCACAAACACCTTTCTTTAAAATAGACTGAACTGTCAGCCTTGTTCGTGCTTTTTTTGCTGGTTTTCCATAGCAACCRGCTTTGAGCTTTTTATAAATAACCACGTAACGATGAGTAAAAACTCTACAGATCTACTTTATTCATGCCATTGTACTGGAAGTGTAAAGCCATGAGAGGAAGCAATGTGGGCTCTCATTTGTCATGCTAGTTTTGTATAAGCACTGGACGGGTATTATGGTCTGAACGGTGGGATTAGCAYGGTGATTTATACAAAGTGTAGTACACATTGTGAAAGAAAGGTCCAAAAACAAGGCACACTGGGACATTTGTAAAACTACACAAGGATGTAGGARGTGAAGTTGCATAATGGCATCTGTAATGCTAATTAAAATAATAGGATAGAAGTTTAATGAATGAGTTTATAGAATGACACGTACCACAAAGCTTATATGTGAAACAGATCAGATGCAGCGATCTTGTGATAAAAGTCATAATAGTAATAATAAGTGGTGRGAACTTATTAACATGAAGGACTGAAATGATGAGCAGAAAATGTCAGAACAGTGTACAGCCATAGGTTCAAGCACATAGTGTTTAAAGRTTTTTCATCAAGTTCATCTACCTAATCAGTAAACTGTGCTGTAAGCATCTTACCTGCGATCAGATCACTGTTTTAAACTTGTTGTTACTGTTTTTACTGGAGCTACTCTTAAACACCAGGTGTCATTACTRAGAAAATAACATCATTAAACTGTACAGCAGGAACGGCATCAGAAGAAGAGTCGTACAGGAGATACGTTCTTATTTTGTACAAAAATGATTTTGAATTTGCCTTCTTTACTCTTTACTCTTTTAAAWCCTTCTTTTTCACATATTTCATGTCTATGTAAAGTGGAACTGCAATGCTTTGGTCAATTCTTCCTTATTGTAACTCCACAAGCCCCTCTTTCACCTCTTTTCTTAGGTGTCTCAGATCAACTCGTTTTGATGCTGCCTCTTTAAATCCAAACGAGGGGCTTCACATCATTCATGTGAGCGTCTAGTATAACTTGGTTGATTCTCACATTACTATTWAACATAAAGAATCAAGGAACTATTTGTTTGCTAGACCTTTTTTTGTAAATTTGAGCATTTTAATCAATGTGCTTGACGCCCACTGTCCAACTGAATGCTAAATAAGAGTGTTTATGTGTAATTAGAGATGTTTTGATTGATTGATTGATTGATTGATTGATTGATTGATTGATTGATTGATTGATGCCTTTATTGTCTTTGTACGGAGCACAATGAAATTACATTTAAGACATTTACATTGTGTGTTGCTGCACGCATGCTCAGATCTACAGCAGGATTATTTCTGTTCTCTATTTGATGCCGGGGATTCCCAGGCTGCCCCAAACCATGCTGGATGTTTATTATTACGCTGAGAGCAACTCTCTTYTTCCTCTAATACCAGCTTTCAGCCCATCTGTCTCTTTGTGTAGCTCACATTGTCCAGCAGCACACAGATGTGTCACACTTTCACCATCCCCACTGGAGAGATACAAAATGAAACCGATGAAAAAGCATTTTTCAACAGGTGAAAGTTTTGGTCTTTAAAGAAATTTCAAACACTGGTTTATTTTTTCTTACCATTCAAACCTGCATTGCTTCAGAGGAGCTTAATGAAACCTCTGCTAATCAGCTGCCAATGCWTCTTTTGCTAAGTGTTTCCTTTCTAAGATTACATCAACCGGACGTTTTAGGTCAACACTCAAAAGGACACAACAAGACATTTCACCTTGTCTCTACCAGCAAACCCAAGTGTTTCTCAAGCAAAACCAGGCTGTATCGATCCACTCTGGCCTTCCTGTTGTTTCAGCTCGGCGAGCACTGCAGTGGCGGAAATGTCTGAACAAGAGTGAGTGATGTTCAGAGTGATTTAGAACCCTCTCCAGGGTACATGAAGTGGAGGCGATTATGATGGCAGGCATCGAGACAAGAGGGGAACACAACAACTCAGGCTCATTGATCTCAAGGACGTGACCAACTTATTCGACAACACAGACGGCAGCACTGAGACATTTTCATACAAGCTTTGATAGTAATAGYTCTGATAGTGTTGGACACTCAAAATAGGATTATATATTTAACTAATTAAATACGAATGTTTGTATAGCATTCAAATATTGTTCTTAAATGACTTTTTACCGTTGGTTGAACGTTATATTCAAAGTAGGAGTATGAAAGTACAAAAACAAACATGGAACAAGTTTTCACACAATTAACTGTGTGGTTTTACAATAGAAACCTTGTATCTAAAAAAACGCAACTTTTCAGTGAAGTAGATTTGGTAAGGTTTAAAAMCATGCTTTGTTTATACTTTTTAATGAATAGTGATCCATAAAACATAAAATCTTAATTCTTGTTCACCAAAAAAAAAATCATCAACAACATAATTATGACATAGCTGTGATGGATCAATGTAAACTTTTTAAAATATGTTTTCTAAAGAAAATAAATGAATCAAACCCAATAGRGTTTTTTACACAGGTCTACACTATTACTTAATCTTATAAAAGACCAAGTAAAAACCTTTAYTTATATATTAATCTGAGTGCAGTGTGATTGCCATTTTAAAAATATCTATATTATTTTTTGACAAATAAAAWTAAAAGCTTCATTTTGGCCAGACAGTTGAGGATTTGGTCTGCCGACATAMAACTAACATGAAGCCATTTACCAGATATGGATAAGGCACTGAACTAAGGCACAGAGATAAATGCAGGGCAACACAGAAGACCTCCATCCGTTAGCTGTGCTGTGTTGTCACTGCCAACTATGCTTGGCACGCACATTTGAGAACAAATACCCTCTGATGTTTCAGCTCGTCCCAAATGCCAGGCTCCTGTGTGGGAGCCGAGAGACTGATGATGCCTGCAGGGCACGGCCAGAGGAAATCAGAAACATTTGATCCAAGACAGAAGAAGAGATGTCGTCACTGGAGCCTGGCGCACACATGCATGGGCACACACACACACACACACACACACACACAGGCAGTCCTCCACGTTGCAAATATTTTATTCAACCTCATGTACAATTGATAAAAAGCAGCTGCTTTGCACATTAAGATTGCGATATTGTGCATGATTGCTCATAAGCTTGCAACAACAGTAGTTGCATTTTTATTTATTTTTATGTAGACTTAAAATGTTTTGTGCACAGRAAAAGCAACTGAAACTCACAAATCCTGGAGCAGCATGTCTTTGTAAAGAAGCAGGAGTGATGGTTGATAAAGCACCTCCGGCTTACCGTCCCTGTGGGACACCTGCTCTCTTCTTCTCCTCTGATCACATTACTCTCCATCCCACTGAATCATTGAATCAAAGACATGCTGCAGATACATCAACACACCTAGATGAGCAGCTGAGATGGTTTAAAACTCTACATTTGTTCTTCCTTGTYTTAATCGGTGAACATTTAAGTGTGTGCCTCTGTAACATATGCACACGTTTGTTCTTCTATTCTCATGGGGACTTTGCATTGACTTCCATTCATTTACCGGCCATTTTTATAGCATAACCCTGACCCATTGCCCTAAACCTAAGTCCTGAACTTTACCTAAACTCAATTCACATGTTAGTCCTAACCCTAACCCCTGACACCACCAACAATATTTCCCACAAGGGGGACTGGGTTTTTGTCCCTGTAAGGAACAGTGGGTCCTCACCGGGGAAATGGTCAAAAATTGTCCCCACCAGGTAGCAAAAACATGTATGTGTATATATACAGTTTTAAATGTGAAAATCAGCTTTCATCAGTGAACCAAATTACTCAAACCAAACAAAATGACAATCTATAACCATGTTTGATCGAGGTGGCAAAATTCAAAAAATGTTTTTACGCTCACGTGCAGTGGTTTTTGGATTTTCCAAAAGAGTTAATGCATGAAAGGGGAGATGGTTACTTATTTCATGTTTGATTTTAGAACAAAATGGAGACAAATAATGACTGAATTAAAATTTTCCCTGCAGTTTCTATCTCACATACACTTTATTTCTACGCACAATATGGCCTAAACTCACCACCCGCTGATCATTTAAACCCAAACTCATACAGCCCCTTTAAAGGTCCAAATATGTTCTTGAGAAGACACAATGTTTTTGCTTCAGATCTTTGCCATTAATATGAAACAACAAGTAAGACACGTAGGAAATGACAAAGTGAAACTGTAGCTACAGCTCTGGAGCGTTTAGTGCTGTCAGGTCTGCATGCTGATGAGTTGCTTTTACGTTTTTTTTCCTAGAAGTTTCTCACTTGTCAACATTTTTTTATGTATTGATGGTAACACAAAAACATCTCAGAGCCTCACTTGTGATTCTCAAAGTGCTGTTATCAAAGCACAACARGTTCCACAGCGTATCCCATCATGTCTGTTCAAATCCTGCCTCTTGCTCTGCCCAGATTTCGCTCTGTAATATTTTTAGCTGTAAACTCATTTTCTGTTCAGAGCTCCCGCAGTGAAGCCCATGTGCGAAGCGAAGCCATGTAGAAACATGGAGTCTTATTTTCTCTGCTTTAGTTACAGCTTTTTGGTGTTCATGTGTAAAAAAAACAACAACTTTAGATTCTTTCTTTGAAACTCACTTTTAATGGAAAAATACATGATTACGAATTTCAGGCTCAATCTTCAAAAATAATGATAACATAAAAATAATTAAAGTGTCAATCTTCAAAAATAACCAGTGACATTAACATAAACTGTAGATTTTAGACTTCATTCCTTATCTCCACTGCATTTATGGTAGAAATAAGGTATAGGAAGTTATGCAAATAATGTTTAAACAATGTTGCAGAGGTTTCATATCATGTTGTTTTATTTGCATATTATAAGCCTTGCTTATTCTGTTTAATGTTTTTTTTTTCTTGTCTTGACTCAGGTGAGGAACGATCTGACCAGTGAGCTGGAGAAAGCAGACATTCAGATAGCAGACACAGAAAGTTTCTCCAATGATCCTTGTGTCAACGTCAAAAAGCTCAAGGTAGGTAAAGCAGCTTTTATTGGCCTTTTACAGTCCAAAACACTTTTAAYAGAGATATTATTCTTTTCTGATGTTTGAACTGAAACAAAAAAGAAAAACATTGGTGAGTTTAAGAGGAAAGGTGCACTTTTTATATAAAAAAAATACTGTTAGGTTATAAACATAAAAAAAGAACCTGAAATATTCATTCATGAGTCATGATACCAGGACAAAAATGCTGTGATAAAAAAATTGTAAATTGTTTAATTAATTTGAAACTGTAAAAAAATAACAATTGCACATATTTTATCTACAGCTAACATAGTTGCATTTTTAAGCATAGGTTCCTTAGGTTTTGCAGGCAGTGTTGTAGTTGTCATGCATTTTTAAAAGATAGTTCAGATTTTGAAGTAAATCACCCTTTACATGCCTATACTGACAAAAATATATTCCTGCCTTAAGTGCATCAAATTTCACCAGAAGTGCTACAGCTAGCTGCTCCTGTTATGTTATTATTATGTTATATGTGCTTGCAAGCTATCACAGAAATCAAATATTGATGGAATAAGAAGTTAGTAGTGTTTATRAAACAACGTTCACATTAAATATTTGATATTTGAGATGTTTACCGCTGCAATATTCCCTCATAGTCTTGGCCTTGTCCCGACTAGCCATGAGCTCATCAAGTCTTGTGGAATTTTCACTTTAACTCTCAAAAACTGAGGTCATTTGAAAAACTGACTACACTGGCTTATAACCTTTCTATGTCACCCTGCTTTGAAAAATCTGAACTCCAAATAGCTCACGGTGGCTTACATGTGTTTGTAAAGATTGATGCATTTATCATCATCAGGAGAAAAAGCACCGTCAGACAAATCGTGCTGGAGGAGAACAATGGAGAGTTGTAGAAATATGTTTCCCTCCTTAAATATCTGTGGAAAACAGAATGTTCCCCAGATGGAGTGGGTCAATAGAAATATAGAATAAAGCTGAGGAGACAGTGGGATACAGAAGCAACAGAAACATAAGCTTTCCTTCCTAAAATATGTGTGTAATCTGCATGTTAAGGCATGACATTTTAAGCTGACATCACCCATCTTGAATTAATGCTGAATATGCAAATCTCTTGCCTGAAAATCTTTTCAGAAGGTTTGGTAAGAGTGGGTGTGGGCCTCTGACACGCTGTGTGATCCACACATCTGTGAGATTCCAGCTGAAAATTTCAAAATGCAGACAGGCATCTCGGCTGCAGGGCATTGTCACAGCCCTCTCTCTACKTCTCTCTGATGCTTTCTACCTTCTTCTTTTTTTTTTTTTCATTTTCTCCATCTATCCCCGCCTCAAGTTCCCTGAATGTAGTGGGTTAAGAAACATTGATAAAACAAAGACAGGCTTTTCTTTTTTCTACTTGGGATGAGTGCACACAAACTACTTTATTTTCAGTTTTATAACTGTGTTGTTTATTATTTATCAGTTTGTGCATAAAATATCAGTGTTGGCAGACATTTTGTAGACTGAGGTGTTTTAAACTTTTTGGGACTTAGAGGCAGTTCAGGCGGCTTTATTTTACTGGAAAAAAGTTCTGATATTTAAAAYTGACACAATAATATCTAATATGAGGTTATTTTAAACAGCGATTTTTACGTGAAACTTCTGATTGCCTAATTTACCACTCCTCRCCACGTTAAAGGGGACAYGTCATTCAAAATCCACTGTTTTAGCCATTAAATGCATTTTATCTTGTACTTGGAGACAATAGAAGTGCAGAAAATTTGAATTCATCTTCTCCTGGTGGTGCAAAGATATCCTTATATTTTGTTTTGGGAATRCTTTTCAACMCATTCAGTTTTTTCTATTTTTTAAGACAAGTTTTTCATTGTTGACATCTTTTACGCAAGTTGTAAACAAAAAGTTTCTGTGCCACCATATAGTCATAAACCCCTCTATCAAAGCTCTGGAAGCTGGAGGCGCTATATAGAAGGATTTAAAGAGACAGTCTGAAAACGAGTTGATCTGAGACAAACCTCAGAAAACAGGAGGAAAAGGGATTTGTGGAGTTATAATAAAGAGGATTTCAGACCAAAGCATTGCAGTTCCACTTAATATAGACCCAACTGAATGATTTAAATGTGATAAAGAAGGATTTAAAGGCAGGCCATGTCTACTTCAAATGCACGAGTTGTGTTATGGGAACCACAAATCTGTAATCTGGAATGTCCTGTTTAATATGGCCAGGATATCATCACACGGACAATATCTAAGAATAAAATAAACTCAGAACGATTTAGCTTGTCATGTGACCCACATAGAGTCAGCGCCAGATTAATGGCTTGCACTTATAACACCATTAAAAGTTTGCCTATTTTGTAAAAGTATTTTATTGAAACCAATAAAATTGCTAAAGCACCTCTGCTGATCTAAATCCCCAAACAGCACAAAGCTGGAGCAACAGTCTCACACTGAACCGATCTACTGAGCAGGATAGTTCTCATGTTGTTGTTTTTTTTAAATCAGGCAATAAAGTAAAAAAGTGTGGTAATAAGTCATGCGTTTGTCAGTAAAACATTACAAACGTCATTTCATCTGGCATGAGTAAATAACTGTGTTCACAACACGATAGTCACAATGATATAATTAGTGATGTAGAAGCAACAAAGTCTCAATCAAATTTTCATCAAGCTCATAAAAGATCATTAATATTTCTCTGTGTTTAATAAGCCTTATTGGTGCCTTTTGAGGATTATGTGTTAAATATTACTATCACTCATTWATCACAATTATAAAGTTACAAATAACCCTGCTGTTGTGGATAAAGCAGCCCACGCTGCCCTTAACCCTACCTTCTTTGAAAACAGTCATTCTTACATAAAAGCTTGCACAACAAGGGTAATTTGGGAGCTCTTTAGTGCCCCCAGTCTGTCTGTAGAGCACTAACAACACGCTGACTCGTGCCCTTGCCTACAACTATGCGGCCTTCTCRTTCCGTTGCTGGGCAGGCTGGAACTCTCACTGAGACTCTGGCCCTTGGACATAGCTGGAGTCATTTAGGTTAAGTGCCTTTACTTCAGGGAACAGACGTATTACTGAGCCGCCACCGGCATGTCTGTCTCACCCAAATACACATTCACCAACACAGAAAAGAACACAGCAGCACATCCTGACAGAATACCTGACCTATGGGATCCTACCTGAAGATGCTCGTCATTGATCAGAGAGAATTATAGCAACTATTCCTCCAGTTTTTCAGCACAGACTCTGATGAGTAACCAGTACAGAAGTGTTAGGATTAAGATGACAGTGATYAGTTGAGCCCTCTGATCTGAGGATGCATGACATATGGTGGAGTTCTGCCTGGAGCATGACTGAACTGAACTGTATTTGTAATGAGTCTTCACTCTCCAGACAGGTTTTTATCAAATTATCACTGGTGTTTGACCCCGTTTTTCTCTTCTAAGCTTGTCTTTGTGTAATTTTTCTTCATAGTTCAGTTTTTACAAATCCCTCAATGCCTTAGAAACATGTTGTTGTGTGGTTAAAGAAGAGAGGCTGAAAAATTGTGTGTGTGTCCCCTTTAAGACAAAAGATTTCATTAATCACTGGATGCAAGTTAATGAAACTTTTGTTGTTTGATTGAAAAACTACTTTKGTTTTGTCTGGATTAAATTAGAACCTCACAACATCCATCTGCCAGTTCATCCTGTCACATCCAGGCTCACACAGATKCATCAAACTGTTTGTATTTATGCATTTTGATTCTAATCAACACTCGTGTGTGCTTTTTTTGTGCGTGGACATGTTTGGGTCTGCACTCAGTTTTTTTTGCCTGGGTTCGACCTTTGGTTGTTTTTTTTTTACTGTTTACCACCTGCAAACATGCTGAATTCCTACCCAGGGAATCTGAATTATTTACCGAGTCATCACCGAGCCATGTTGTGTCCTGAATCCCCAAGCATATTTGAACTCTCCAGTCTAGTTGGAGTGTAGTTTTATCCCCTGATATACTATGTTTTAATGCATTGCTTTGTTTTATTTACTTCCATTCAAATCCATCAAACGTTGGATCTCTTAATGAGGTTCAAATGTTGAGAAAGCACATGCAACATGGTTTATTCAAGTAGTTCTAATAATTTCACTAAAAGCTTTACATTTTTATTTCRTAGATTTATTTCCTGAATTAAAATTCCCAAATAAAGGTTGTACAGTTTTTGTTGAAATGTATTACCCAAAATGCCTTGCATGCTTTGCAGAAAGGACATAATAAAGCTCTACGGAGAACCACAACAAACAACAAGCAGCTGGTTTGAACTTTCATTACTGACCAATCAGAGCAGACTTGGAGTTAATGTGGTGCACAGTAAAATACAAGTAAAGACATTTTGGAACACTGAACTATAAAAGGAAAATATTGTTTGCTGTTAAACACAATTTATGTTTTATTTTCTTCAGGACAACGATGTGAGRATCATCATTGGTCAGTTTGATGAAAACTTGGCCTCCCAAGTCTTCTGTTGTGTAAGTACTCTATCATACTTATTTAATGTCTTTTTAACTTTATAGGTCCTACCAAGCACAAAAAATACAACACTTGTTTTATGTCTTTAGACTTACCATATAGGATAATGCAAGGATTCAGTGTTCATGTAAGGACACAGATACAAGGAAGGATTGGAATTAAAAACCCTAATCTTCTAACTTACTTTAATCCAAGGTACAGGATTATGGAATGGTCTGGAAGGTGATCTTAAAAATGCTAAATCAATGTATATATTTAAGAGACAGAAAAACAGTTTTTTGAAGAAATATGAAAAGTAAAATGTGAAGCTATTTGATTTGTTGTTTGAGTTGATCTTTTTATTGTTTTTATTTAAATTTTTATTTAGTATTGTTTTGTAAATTATGTTTCGTTTGAATATACTCTGGGTTGAAAGGGGGCAGACAAAATAAGATTTATTCTTCTTCTGCTACTTTTAATTTTAGTTTGATTTGTATACTTTTGGGGGGGTTGTTTATTTTTTGGTTTTTGTTTATTTTTTATTATTATATATAGTATTTTTAATGAATTGAATAAATTTTTGAATTGAATTGAAAACTTGCAGACAAAGATTCAAAGACTGAGCCATTAATTTACTTTGATTKAATTGAGTTGGTGTAATTCCATGAGAGTGAAGGATTGTGGGTGTCCAACAAACTCGGACAGACTTTTGGTGGGCCCTTCATGTAGTKAACGGTGTGTAGCTTTCAGACTCGACACTACTCATGGGTAAAACACTGACTGGGAGAAGTTGACAGGAGCAAATCTATCACCAAAAAGAAAAAAAAACACAAAAATCAGTGAACAAAAAAGGAACATGGGTGGAAAACAGGGGCAGAGCAAGACTTCTTTGTAAGGGGTGGCACAGGTGTATTATTTTTTAGGCCTCATGTAAATATAAATAAAACTACACTGGATCTGAATATTCAAGATGGCCGCCACTGCTGATTTCAAATGTTTATAACTCAGGTATTTTTTGACATATTAGGCTGGAATTTGGTGTGGTCAAAGCTGCAATCAACATAGTACAGTCACATCAAAAATTTAAAATGGCAGCCACATGGCACCCGTCAATGTTTCACAAAGAACTCTTCTTATAGCTCCATGCTATTGCTATGTTACACACTAGCCTTTGCTCTGTTTGTATTAACTGGTTCTTAAACCCACAACTACTGCACGTGTTTGTTGTTTTCTAGTTATTCAGTGGTTCAGAAAAGTTATTTTTCTTCATATAATTCACACTGATAGATTCCCTCTACGCCAAACAACACATCTGCTTGACAAATAGTCTGTTTAGTCTGTTTTTGCTCTAACTGCCCTTTTCAAAAGGCCACATGTGATTCCCACTTCAACTGTCAACCATTTGAGGGTGGCACCTAGGGTGGTCAACAAGGTRCCACTCCTCTGTCTCTGACCCTGGAGGAAAAGCTTCAGTAGATGATCTCYATTATTTCAACGACTTTTGTTTGTTTTGTTTTGTTTTTCACAGATAAGCAGAGCTAAATTGACAAGAACATAAAAAAAATACATATTCTGCATATTTATGAGACTTCCCCCAGTAGGCAACATGCTTTTGCATGTATGTGTGTTTGTATATTTTAGCCTTTAAATGACTGAGCTGATGCTGCTTGTCCTGTCAGTCACTATCTGTCCTAAATCAGAAATGACAATATGTATTAAAAACATTGGGGAGAACACATATAATCCAAAACAATGGCCAGCTTTTCCTGACCTTTTAAATGACAGTCAGGTACAAAAATGCATGTGCTGTTTTATTGCTTCAGCCTTCCTGTTTTCTCTGTTTTCCTGTTCCAGGCGTATAACTTGAACATGTTTGGCAGTAAGTACCAGTGGATCATTCCGGGCTGGTACCAACACAAGTGGTGGGAGCAGGCTAATACCACCAACTGCACGGTCAAGAAGCTTCTCACTGCCATGGAAGGGTACATCAGTGTGGACTTCGAGCCGCTCAGCTCTAGGCCAGTCAAAGGCATCTCTGGCAGGGTGAGGAACACCAGCTGTTCAAATATGAACAAAAGTTGACAAAAATGTGATGTGAGGTCTGAAAACCAGTTTTAACCCTGTTTGTGAGTGAGTTGGTTTATTCAGAATCAAGCTGAACATTAAAAAGATAAAAATAAATGTGGATAAGTATAATATTTAAATCAGAAGCGCTCCCAAGAGAAAACAGAGGCATGCTTTGTCCTTGGTTATTTCAGGGCTAAATCTGTGCATTTTGAGATAATTCTTTGTTTTCTTTTCTAAACTCGTTTAATGTGTTTCAGTGCTGCTCTTGCAGGTTTCCCAGCATGCACAGGGAAATATTTCATCAAACGGTCCGAGACACAAAAGCATGTCTAGTGTTTGATTGCAATAATTAACACATGCCACTCCGTTTTTCATTGTCCTGCTCTGACTTCTGACAACCAGAAGCCATTTTCTGCTGCATGTCAAAAAAAAATAAAATAAAATAAAAATCACATTTTTTACATAGTTGTTAGAAATATAAAACTGTACACTGCTGCAAATACACAATAACTTTTAGAGTCAGGTTAAGACAGAGCTAAAAGGATCAAATGTAAGTAATTTGTAGTTTATAATCTGAATTATTTAAATAAAAAAGTGAAAACTGAGGTATTTTTGATCAAGTTTTTACATCTAATTTATTGTTTTTCTACATTTTTAGAATGAAGTCATTATCATTTCTTTTTATTTTCTAATTTTGTTTTCCTGTGGCTACATTTAGCAGTTTTTTTATTACACAGAAGAGCATCTGTTGGAATTGATTTTGTGAAAATTTACAAACAGTTTCACAACTTTGCTTCCAAAATTCTTTTTTTTTTTTGGTCAGTCGTACATTTTTTAGATTAGAAATTTCAAGGTTACAATAACAATATCTTTCATTAATACTCTACTTCTACTTTCTGTAGAAAAGCTTCATTGTTAAAAAAAAAAAAAAAAAGGTATGAGTAAAGCTTCTTCGTCTCGCTCGCCTTTCAGACCCCCCAGGAGTACGAGATGGAGTATACCAGAGAGCTTCGGCAGAAAGGTGTGGAGGCAAGCAAGTTTCATGGCTTTGCCTACGATGGGATCTGGGTAATTGCTAAAACCTTGACCCGAGTGATGGAGCTGCTGCGGATCAAACAAAGGCAGAACACCTACCACAACTTCACAGTCGATGACCGGGATGTAGGAAAAATGGTTCTGAATGTGATGAATGAGACGAACTTYAATGGTGTAACGGTAAGTCAGACAGTTTAGTTTTCCTCAAAAGCATTTCTTGTAGGAATTCACATCGCCCACTGCCCTTCAGAGGTTTCAACTAAAATCATCRTATAATGATAAATGATGGAGTTCAGCTATTTTTGATTAAACCTTGAAAATATTACACACAACTTTAACCTCTTATTTTAAGTTGTTAATGACTAGCTACTACCACATCAAGTTTTGACTCCATAAACACTTTTCCTTTTTAGTCCTTTTAAACCCATACGTGTACTTCTACTCATGTAATTAATACTTCAAACACTTCTGTTTAAATTAGATGAGTTTTAAACCTGTTTTACATTAACAAGCTGTGCTCAGACATCTTTAATTTGGTTGACTATAAAATATAATCAGATTGTAGATGTAGATTATTCGTTTCTGCTAATTGTATTAAAATCTAACCAGTGCTTTATTAAATATTTGCAACAAGACAGAGACACAAACATACAGACATGAGCAAAAATGTTATTACCTGTACTTTGGAGTCTCATGATTTCAGATCATTTCAAACACCGGTGCACATACAGACAGGATCAAACACAGTGTCCCAATGCTGATCAAGTTGGGGTCTTGTAAAATGAGCTTTCAACAGTCCAAATGTAAACACTTAAAGTAAACTATTTTTTGTGTGGAGTGGGTAAATGTCACAGCAACACACAGAGGAATGAGTGCTCAGTAAACTGGACTCTTGTTTGCAGAGGTTACCTACTCATCCGTGGGTCTGAATGAAGCCTAAAGTGATGTCATTTAGTGCAACAGACTCACTTCACTGCATTTAAGATTGATCCTAGTGGCAAAGCTAAAAGCTGTTTATGCACTGTGTGTGTGTGTGTAGGTGTGTGTGTGCTTGTGTGCATGAATGGGTGTTCTTACTCTCTCTATTTCTTCCTATTGAGCCGTTTGAGGATATCTCCTGTTTCTCTGTAATGGCCACTCTGTTATTAGAGGAAATGCCTGCTGCTCCCAGCCTGAGCAGCCAKTTGGCATGGGGAGGTTGTGCACTACATCAGGACATTACTTACATTCTATTGTCCTCATATTCAAACCCAGTTAACAAGTAATTAGTTCCAACTGCAGCTGGTAATGAAAAAATAAAGAGAGTCACACAAAAGGGCAAAACAAATTGATAGAAAACACCTCCATTTAAAAATGTGGGTTCAGACCTTTTGTRAGGAGGTTCTGCAAACAAGTTGTGAACAATTAATATCTTACCTGTGGTGGATTGCACTTTTGATGACCTGAGTTTGGAATAATTGTTTAATTCATAATGAGAGTGTTTTTTTATTTTTTATTTTTATTGTCAAAAGCATAAAATTTCAGAGCAGTTCTTGCAGTTATTAAAACCTCCATTTCATTTCCTTTATTTATACAGGTTAATCTTGTTGAAACAAAATTGTCTCATTTGCAAGAGAGACCTGTTATACAGAAAAAAAAACTGTTAAAATATTCATACAAAAATATACATTTCAATAAAATAACATTGTAATAAATTCAAACAAAAGCTGTCCTAACTTTAAAAATAACCAAAAAAATAAATAAATAAACAGGAATAAGTGTTGAACTAATGTTACTATTATTTTTTCACTTCTATTATTGCCTGCTGCCTAAGATAATGTTTTTCTCCCCTCTGTGTGTGTATGTTTAAGTTTGCCTGTCTATAGCATAAGCAAAATATTTTATGAAGTACTGGATGATTTTTAGTGAAACTCTGCAAGTAATTCTTGGACATATTTTATCTACAACTTAGCAGTCTTTTCTACAGCTTAATACCTTTTGTTGTCAACACATTTCAGGAATGGCTGCCACCAATAATTGACCTTATCCAGCAATTTTCATAGAAAACTTTACAGATGTTGATCTCAGTTTGATGTGGTCGCAGCTAAGAGTCGACCTCAACACATAAACCCAGAAAAAACACAACAAGGATTTTTGTCATTTCTCATCATTGGCTGATTGGATGATATGCATGCCCTCAGACAGTGGTGGGYAGCACTAATTTAAAAATTAGTACCGCTAGCCCTAAAACACTAACTCAAATATTTAGGTCCCCTAATTCTAAAGCACTAATGCACTAAAGTTTTAGCAAAAGCTAATTCTAAAGCACTAATAACCCAGTCAAYCCATGAAAATTATTCARYAGACAACACGAGTCACATATTGCCATGTTGCTCTCTTAATACTTTTGACGTCACCTAGTGCAGTGATTCCCAACCAGGGGTATGTGTACCCCTTGGCAAGGCAACGTATTTATCTTAATGTTTAATTTGAGTTGAAAAGAATAAAATGTCTGAGAATTAAATGTTCTAGGGCATTAAATAAATAATTTTAATTTAATAATCAGTTGTAGTACATTACAGTTTTGGAGAATTATCATAATGTTTGACAGTGGGGGTACGAGTGATTTGACAAAATGACTCAGGGGGTACACACGTCTAAAAAGTTTGGGAACCACCGATCTAGTGGATAAGTGACACATGAACAAAATGTGTGACGGCTTTCACTGTCAGCTGTTAACTTTAACATTGATCAATAACATGTATAAACCTCAGTTAGTGCTGTAAATTTAGCCTATAAATTTAGCAAGTGCTAATCCACTAATAAATTTTAAAATTAGCAAAAGCCCTAAATCACTAATCAGGAAATTAGGTCYCCTATTAGTGCTTCAGTGCTTTAGGGGAACCGTGCCCAACACTGCCCTCAGAGAATGCTAGGACTTTAATTTAATCTTAAAATTTACATAATAAGTACTGATGTTGCTGTTGTTATTTAGAGTAAGTTTGTTGTCACAAATAAGTGATGTAAATATGTTACCAGACTGAAAGCAGTAGGGCACTGTTTGCAAGCGGTTAACACAGGCTGTGCTGCTGCAGCACGCCGAGCATCCCATACATCAAACATAACCTGTCTGTTCAAGCTGTTTAAACTACACGATTCCTATCTTGCCCTCTGTCATATTCATGCCATACACATGCAGATTATTGTGTCAAGTAGCTACATTTATTACATAATGATTCAACAGGAGCAATTTTAAATTTAGTGAGTTATGCACATAATAAACAATGTTAAACAGTGGCATTGCTATATAATTAAACGTGTTTTTGTTCCTGAAGCTTTAAGCTCTCCCAACTATTATAGCTGTTCTTTTTAAGGGATTACATGAAATACGACTTAGTGCATAGAAACTTCCACCCACACATGACAAAGACTGGAGGAGGCAATTTCCCTTCCAGCCATGCTCCATACATCTTTTATGCTATTTTAAAATTCTGATTTCAAAAGCAGCTGTTACGCAACTCGCTCGCCTTGCTCGGGGATTAAATGACTTGTAGTTTGACTAAATTCACCCGCGTKCAGGCAGATGTGTGAAGACGAATTCTTGGCTTAAAGGTGGCGTGCGCACGTTGCTGAACGTTATGTGTGCCTTCTTTGGTGTCAGGTTTTTTTTTTCTGTTGCGCAAAAAACATGTTAAAGAAAAAGAAAACGCACTGCTTGTGTGTTGATCTSTGCCTTACTGCTGAATCAGTCACTGCAGCAGGAGAGTGATCACTGAGAGTATCGATCCGGTGGCTGTCACAGTCACAGAGGAACAGATTGGTTGGAGAACTTCCAGGGCGAGGAGAGCTGCTGGAGCCACAGAAAGCTATTTTCTGAAGAGAAACGCCTCATCAGAATGTCACCATCATGTTTTTGCTTCATGCTGCCTTTTTTTTTGAAAATCTGCAGTCTGTTTTTTTTTTCCTCTTTAAATCTGAGCTCTTATCTGTGTGTGCATCCCAGTTAAACTGGCATCAGCCGTTTCAGGAATCTGAAACCCTGAAAACCCAGAGGATGTAACACCTGCAGCTCACACAGTTACATCTCATTTGACCCCAGCACTCCTGTCACTGCCWGTATTCTCACACTCACTGACAAAGTGAGAGCTGGCCACCTCCTCCATCTTTACTTGAGAAAGACACCTTCTCTCTCACACACGTGCCTAAACACAATAATTGCTCCTTCAGCCGTCGCTTTATTCTTACTGAAAGTCCTTTGAATGCAGGGATGCCTGTCTAAGTGATTCTTACCTCTGGCTTCACAATAAGCTTTTCAAAAGATAGTTTGGATTTTCTGAAGTATTGTTCTGTAAGGTTTATACGAAAAATTATCATTAGCAAGCGTATCAGTTCATGCAAAAATATACATCTTTACACTGCCGTACATTTTTCTTTTCTTTTTATTTCMGTATTTATTTCACTCATCCAATTTTAAAATCTTTGCCACTGAGCATCGCAAACAATTCTGTCTGTTAGCAAAATATGTCATGACTCAATGCACAGATTAAAGAAAAACTCTCAGAAATTATTTATTTGATGCACATCTACAAACCGTTACGTTCTGGAGTTAGTCCCAAGTAAGATGGCCACCACAGCTAATCAAAGTTAGCCAACACGAAAATAGCTATAACTCTATTATTTGAATAGATATTGAGATAACAGATTTGATGTGGTAGTAGTTGAGAGTCCTCCTTAGGTCATACTCTAAGCTCACAAGATCTCACAAAATTGTATCRATTTAGCATAAAAACATTTTCAAGCTTTGACTAAAACAGCTATAACACCATCATTTCCTATTATAAGAGGTTCTTAGTTTAAAAGTCTGGCATAAAACATGGCGAGCAATTTGTATTCCTCAAATTAATGCAAGGTCTTAAATTTTAATATTTTAATACTGTTTGCCTAACTTGTTTTTTGTTGATTTGAAGGACACAGAACGTAGCGAATCTAATGTAGGAACAGAACATATGAGGCCACTCTGAAACTAGTATATATGCAGGAGGAATTATAACGACTTCGAGTCAAGTTCCCATGAATCCTCTGACCCCCATTAAACACCACAGTCATCGCCATGTAATACAAATAAGCTAAACGAAAGAGRGGGGTCTCTGCAACAAACACTTAAGGCGTGATGTGTTGTGCATCACTAATGTAATAGGCGGCATCAGAGGCCGTCTTCTCCTGGGAGAAACTCACTTATGTATGCATTATCTGTGACACACGCAAGTATGATAACACATTAAGTGCGCACACACACGCCGCTCAGACTAACATCAAAGATGCCACACAAAGACTGGGATTCAAAGAGAGGGGTGGGATCCACTCCGCCACTTCAAAGCGGGCCGTTTTTAAGAGAAAATCGGCTCTCCGGCGTCCCCTCCACTTCCCCTCAGCTATCTCCGAACCAGTCGCCGCAAACTATCTATCTGCCCGCGTGCTTGCCTCTCACCTGTTTTGTTAGCCAACAGCTGATATGTAAACCCAGTTAAATGCGTAATTAAGGAGCTCCGTGAGCAGATGGTGGGCTGAATTAATTGAAGACTCGTGGTAGATGTGAGTAAGAAAGGATGGAGTGGGACAGGGGGAGGGGGGAGATAAGGTGACTGAAGCACGATTGTTTCCAAAACGTTTCAAGAGGTTGCCAACAGTTCAGATGCTTTTTTTCTTTTTGTGTATTTTTGCCAGAAGCTCCCGGGCTAAAAATTGCTCTCTTTTTTTTGTTTGCCTCCTGTAAAGTTTTTGTCGTTATTTTCTCCCTCATGGAGAGCTGGTTTAACCTGTATACTTCTATCAGCGATAAGGCATAAAAGGTTCCCTTAAATCTCAGTGACTCAGGCTGACGACGGTTCCTGACCAGCTGTGAGAACCGCTAACTGAACTGCTATTTCAACCACTTCCAACTCTGATTCAAACCTGCACTTTCCAGAGCCTGGATTTGTTGTCCTCGCCTCACTGGTGTAGCTCCAAGGATGAATTGGCTGAAGAATAATTGTGTTTACTTCTATAAACAGATCAATTTTGGCCAAATGAGATGCAGTGTGCCTCTTTTTCTGTCATCACTGTTAGGAAAACACCGCATAAATTCAAATCAACTCATATCGATTGATTTTACCGYACAGCTTCCTCAACAGAATGTGTTGCATTTAAATCTTTAAAGGTGTGGGATACTCCAGGGCAATGATGAAAACATTTGTTTTGCTCGTGTTTTTCAGGGTCAAGTCATGTTCCGTAATGGAGAGAGGATGGGCACAATCAAATTTAACCAGTTTCAAGGTACTCCGCTCCTCATTAAGCTCACTATGTTTTGTCCTGTTTTCCATAACCGTGCTGCAGCCTTGACTGCTTTGTTTTCTACCTTTTTTTTAAAACTCGATTTGTCTCAGCTGGAAATTGTTGCCATAACATTGCAAACAGATTACGTGTGCGGCGCAGTGGATGTACCCTCGATAAATCATGACTAAAAAGCCCTCCGAAAAGCTAATGCAGGTCACAGCCTGAAACTTTTCAAGCTTTCAAAGTCAAATGCTTTACTCTCACATTCATCTTGCTCATTGTGGAGGAGGACTCACATGGCTGTGGTGTTGGTTGTCATTAAAAGACACATTTKTCCTCAGTGTCTGCTCTGGGGTGAAAGTTTTTGGGCACCACTTTACATTAAGGCTCCCCTTATAKATGACTTWAAAAGAGTTTATAGATAGGTTATTATTTCATCTGTAAACACTTTWTAGATCATTAATAAATGTTTATTATGCAATAATTAAGGACGAGAAAGAGACAAAACTGTCTGGTTTCTTACTAAATAATGAAACAAATCTGTTCACTTACATATTACATCTAAAGGTGCTTATTTAAAGGAGACCAATTATGGGTCCTAGAAATTTTTATGGTATGTCTGTGGGCTACCCAGATCATGTTCATTCARTTTAATGCACAAAATAATTCTCAGATAATAAAATTTCCCATTTTCTAGTTCTGCCTGCTCTGACTTCTGTTCAGAAGAGCTGTTTATGTTAATGAGCTCTGTTGGTNGTAAACACTTTATAGATCATTAATAAATGTTTATTATGCAATAATTAAGGACGAGAAAGAGACAAAACTGTCTGGTTTCTTACTAAATAATGAAACAAATCTGTTCACCTACATATTACATCTAAAGGTACTTATTTAAAGGAGACCAATTATGGGTCCTAGAAATTTTAATGGTATGTCTGTGGGCTACCCAGATCATGTTCATTCAATTTAATGCACAAAATAATTCTCAGATAATAAAATTTCCCATTTTCTAGTTCTGCCTGCTCTGACTTCTGTTCAGAAGAGCTGTTTATGTTAATGAGCTCTGTTGGTAACGCCCTCCAAAAATCTGTTGACATTAACTCCACCCTCCAAAGCCAGAGTTTATGTTAGCATGGCTAATAACAGCAGAAACTCCGTTGTACAACCGTATGAGAGACCCAGAGGCAGAGTCGTGGTCGCAGCTTCTTTTTATTTTCTCCCCGTCCTCTGCTCTGCGCTCACTCTGCATGCTGTTACCAGAGCAGGGAGCAGCAGCGGTCAAAATACCTCAGAAACTCTAACAAATATGCTTTAACAAGGCTTTAATAAGCTAAACTATAGAGGTACATGAGAAAACGTGTTCATAACGAATGAAAATAAATAATTAAATTGTATCCATGCTGATCTCAAACCCTGGTCTCCCACTCTTTGGTCTAACACTCTACCCATTGCCATATTGGAGGCCTTTTGTGAAATGAGCTGAGCATTGCACAATAACAATGACGGCTTTTTATACTGAGGAGGAGGAGCTTCACCCGGGGGCTGCTAGGTAAGAGGCTGAACGCAGGTTCTGGTGGGTTGTCGTACGGCTTGTGACATCACAAAATGACGGAAGTATAAAACTTGTCATTAATATACATTATAAATACATTTACTTACAGTAAATATGCCCCTGGATGCATTTTTTTTTTGGTCCTAGGACTATTTTTTAAGAAGTACATACCCAAAGTTGAGTAAAAAAAACCTTTAAAAAGTGAATTTTGCATAACAGGTCCCCTTTAAACATTTCAGACTAGGTTACTACATTGTAAGTGCAATAACAATAAGAAACACATATTATTATTACATTTTGTTATATTAATATTGTACTATATTACTACATTGTAAATATCCACAACTGTCAAAGGGAGACTTATCATAAAGTGTAATACAGTACATTATTTATAAATAACAAATAAACATTTATAAATGCCAAAAGTTAGTCTTAAATGGAGGAAAATATCACCATTTTTAAAATTTCATGTTGATGATCAATATTTGAAATTATTGTTCAAACATGTAATGGTCAACAATGTTGATGTATCAAAAAAGTAAAAAAGCGCCATATTAACATACCAAATAATCCAACCCTCTCTAAAATAGTGTACAGTTTTACACTTTGCAATAAGGATCCCTTAATATTTGTGGATATTTATAATGCAGTTATACAGTACAATATTAAATGTAAAATATGTGTTTCCAAAGCATTA